GGGGGTGGTTGACGTGATGTGGGCTGTCGGTTGAGGAGTTATCCTACGAACTAGTTGGCCGATTCCCCGGGAACCGGCCTGTTGGCGTTTTTTTCTTCTGATTCAATCGGAGCACTTGGATGACACTGGCTATCATCGTCCGTGCTGCACCGCTGTATTGTGACTAGGGGTTGGGGATGTTCTATGACAACGTTTTGCTCTCTCCTTTGGGTACGCGGCCGGCTCTCGCAGCAGCGAATGTGTCTGCTGACCTTGTCCTTGGTCTCGTACCATCTCTGGAGAGCAGTGGTCAAGTGGTCTCGGGAGCTGAACTTAACAGCTAACAGACGTGGGGTGTTAATTGACATTAGGTGAGTGGGTCGAGGCAGTCTAAAAATAGAGACAGCCCCTGAACTTCCCAGACCCATCTGGGATGCCAACCATCTCCATTGCTGGACATCGTGACAGTGCTTCTCACAAGCGTTCCCAGTTTCCAGTTCGGGAATGCCGTGAACAACCATGGAGGCAGAAGGAATAAGCTCTGGCGACTCCCTCGCCATCTGTCTTTCCTTCCATGGCCTATCTGGCCTAACACGTATATTGCAGGTCCTCCCTATAGAAAGGACTTGGGAAGTCAATGAAACTTTTTCGGCATCTTCGGCAGAGCCTAGTGTTACCCTCAATGGGGATGGTTTGCCTTGAGGAGCAGCAGTGCCCTTATACAATCTGCACAGTTTTACTGGTTGGATGTCCAGACCCAGTGTGCCACATAAGTTGGACCACTGTTCCTGATCAAACAGGGCCCTGTTTTCCAGCAGACTACTGCTACAGTCTGGTACATTAAAGAGGATAACGCAGTTTGATCGACTGACCGTGGATTTAGGTTCGGTCCTCGCACATTTGTCATTCCCCTTAAGACCGTTTTGTTTCGTCTGGTGCAACTGGGTATTATTATGTGTCGCAGTGCTGTGGCCACTTTTACTGGTGGACGGTAAGGGTCTTTTCCCAGCGACAGGTACCCTTGGTGCTTCAACCTCTGTGTCTGGGGCAGTTATGGCAGGAATTGCAAGTATAACCGGTGTGGATTTTGGTATCCCCGATTTACATGCAATTGTGCTGTTTTCTGAGTTGGTGGGAGTAAAACGTTTCACGTTTTTTCCTGATATCTCTATGCCATCTGTAGCTTTCGAGGAACTACACGAGGCTGCATTAGGACGGCAACTTGGGTATATGTACCAGAAACATGGGCATGGGTTCTTACGCATAAAATCGTAATATACCTTTGGTACTCCGGTGTCACATCTACAATGTACCCATTGCTTACTCCTAAAATAATATCGATGATTAAGTGATAAGAGACAGTGGAGTTTTGTCCAATAGACTGACGGCAAAAGACAGTAGAAAGCACAGAACAGAAAGATAAAGTATATAAGTAAAAGCTTTTGACTTTACCTGTAACTTTCGGGTTATTCGGCTTCACAACAATCACGTAACAGACCAACAAGTCCTGTATATTTGAAAGAGTGAGGGGGATGTTGCTACAGAAGTAGCACCTGAAGCTTGGGCAGTAGTTCGAGACAGTGGGAAGTACCAAACACAGGCTCGGTGAAGAAGAAATGGTTGAATAAAATTCGCCGGATAGGAAGATCAGGTTTCCCAAACGAATTATTCACAAAAGTGGATATTTCCTGTTAGACGGGAAAATGCACGTCGTATTCAAGGAGCGCACGTGACCTATAGGATAACAAATAACCAGGATCACCCAAACGAAAGAATTCTTCCATTAATTACGTATGCGCTTGTTCGTAGGAGCCCACGTAAGATAGCCCACCAGAGGGTAAAGACTCAAGTGCTCTCTCATTTCTTTTCACTGCGGGTTTGCTGTCCCTGGAACTCCCTACCTGCAGATGTGGCTACTGCACCGTCCATGACCAGCCTTAAGCGAAGGCTGGACAACAATTAAGACACACAAAGACGGAGTACAAATAGCCTATCTCATCAGAACTCACACACTATTAATGGGCATACACCTAACCTCATCCTTTATTTCTTCATATCCTCCACTGTCTTACTCTCCTGACAATTCCAGCTAATTTTTCCCCTACACTGTCACTATTATTACCGATATATATGTACCATGCATATATATCAACTTCAAAATTCATTAGCTGTCTGTTTCTACGTTCTCTTGCTTTCTTTTTTCTAAATCCACATAACCTATACTAATTATAACTGCCATTGTCATCCCATTTTTTCGACCACACCGGACGAATAACAGGTGAAAAGATCAACTCCACTAACAGTAGCAGAACAGTCTTAATATACTGCACACTACAAATTACACTTAGATAGCCCCAGCTTCACTCTTTTTGAAGTCAACCAAAGGTACGACAGTCGAGTAACTGGATGAACTGCGCAGAAGTATACTGAAGACGAGGAACCTCTACTTTACAACGAAGCAGTGATCACAAAGAAATCAAATTGGTTTACACTGGCTGGTAAAAACGAATGAAATTATCTCGCATGCTCGAGGTCATTAAAAGAGTTAGACACGTGAAGGTCACTTTCGTTCATGTAAGCCTGCCATGCTGGATTGCTGCTTTCTAACCATCTATTTACATATTGGCTTCTACATTAAACCTGCAGTTATTCACAACTTTTGCTGGCAAGAGTTAACAATAGATGCCAAAGTCAAATGACCTTGAAACAGCCAACCAGATTCTTCTAGGTGAAAAGTGGTACTTAATTTACAAGGAAGTGTATCTACGATATATATGTAATAAAAATGAATCACAGAGGGCATATATCTCTCATTTGCAGCAAAAATCGGTCTCAGATTCTCATGGAAGTGGTTAAAGACATACCAAACCAATGCACTCTCTATTTCTCCAGCTGTAGGAGATACAGGTTGCATATACTCAACATATTACTAGGGGAGAGCTTTGATTTCGAGAAAAAAGTGTCTAAAATTTAGCCCCCTTGTTTAAACTGGAGACAATGTTATGGGGCAAGACTGCAGCTGCATCTAAAGTACTTTACTATGTTTGTAGGCGAATTGTTTGGGATCATTAAAGGCTTTAGGTCAAGGTTCGAGATTAAGTAAGAGTAACTTTCCCATAGATTTTAGAAAAGATGGGGTAACAGCAGTAGGTCTAAATTTAATACATGTTTCAGTAGATGACTTAGATATAGGTACAGTTTTAATGTCCTTCCAAACGGCTGGCACGACACATCAAATGAACAGTGGATACTTTTGTAATACTCGCTGTAATTAGATGCATAAAAGCGTGAGTTATTTAATACCCATAAGGTAGATATTCAAATACTGTATTTGCTGATTATAAAAATGATGGATACTAGGTAATATCAAATGATTCAACGGCATATTGGAAATAAATAAAAAATTGTTTTCCTAAGTCATTGTCAGGTAAACAGTCTATTTGATGTCACCGCATATTAACAGATTAATGAAGTAGCTATCAACCCTAATTTACTACATTTAGTTGTACTACAGTCTTGGAGTTTAGCACTATACAGACTTACAGCTGCCTAGATAAGGCGACTTTAGCGTATCGAAAAGTACAGAATTATCACTCAGCTTGCTAAATCCTACTTTGTTTTTACAGAGTGCTATTGTATAGAAACGGATACAAAATCCTACGAATGACTAAAGTAACAGTCTCAGCATACTACAGTATGTCTCTATCCCACTAACTAAGCTTGACATACTTAGTTCAACTTCACACGTGAAAATAGCCCATAGTAACGCGAATCATTGAAGAAGTCCGAGAGAAGCAGAAATTAAGAGTATATTAAATATTTCATTAATTTACAAATGAAAATTCTGATGAAGGCTATTAGCGTTAGTTTGACCCATTGACATTTCCATTGACTTCATATTCGACAACCTCCACATACCTAAAAAATAAAGCACAACATGAAGTTATGAAAGATAATTTTATATATTAGTATACAATATGCATACACTGATTCTATTAAAACTAAGTAAAATGCAAAGAAAAGCATTTGTAGTCCACAGCTGGTTCTTATATTGACACCATATCCAGTATTAAAGGATTATACGTAAACTTCAAGACAATCTCTGAAACATCCATATTGTTGAGGTGTCAAAAATATTGCACCATTAAGTATACAGTGTCAGTGGGAATGGTATAACAGACAGTAGATTGATGATAACAGAGCTGACTAGATTAAGTTCTCATAAGCAAAACAATCCATGTGTATAATAATACTATGCACTGAATTAATGCACTAAGTGAAACAATGAGGAAAATTGAACGAGTAATTGCCTTCTTCACTGCACTGCACTTGCAGCAATCGTGAGAACCACCTTCATTTGTTAGCCTAGCAGTCAGCTAAGCACAATATTGATAAAGTGGAGATATTTTTTATACATTCAATCCACATAACCCATATTGCACTGCGCCAATCAGTGCAAATATCAATTAAACCTAGAAATAACCTTTCAACTTACGATAATTCCTGATCAAACGCACATACGGTGAAAGACACATTTACATGATAAATTTTGTTCACATAGAAGGTTCTGTTAACATTTGTAGGTGACTTCCATGTAGTGCTAGCATTCTTTTGTCAAACAGTACCGTTTTTCATACAAAAATGTGCTCCATTGATATCCTGAGACGTGAAAACTTCATTGAATGATAGTATGCCGAAAGTTGCAGCTTCTACATAAAATGGACTGTTTATGTAGATGACGTTACCCTCCAACTATCCCATCTTGCTCCTTATAGTAGTATTTTGACACAGTCCACCTGAAACACTAATCATTGCAACCAATATGCTAAGAGTGTGTCGCAGTCAGACCACATGACGCGGACACCAACAATACTAGTGAAGAAATGAGAATTTCTATCAATCCAGAAAACATATAACACAATTTTATTAAAATTTATAAACAAAAGAATTTACCAAGCAGAATTTCAACCAACATGCTAGATAAATCGTCTAGACTTATCCGGCACGTTGGTTGAAATTTCGCTCGGCAAATTTTTTTTGTCAGTAATTTTTAATAAAATTTTGTTATATGTTTTCTGGATTGATAGGAATTCTCATTTCCTGGCTAGTTATGTTGGTGTCCGCGTCATGTAATCTGACTGCGACACACTTAGCATATTGGTTGTAATGATTAGTGTTTCATGCTGAATGCGTCAAAACATCTCTACAATGAAGAAGATGGGGTAGTTGGGGGGTAATGTCATCTACACAAATAGTTTATTTCTTGTAGAAGCTGCAGCTTTCGACATAGTGTCATTCAATGAAGACTACCTCAAAATGTGGCTATTTTCGTGTGAAGAACAGTACTATTTTACAAAAGAATGCTATCAGTACATGGGAATCACCTATAAATGCCAACAGAACATAAAACCAATGTGTAAACGAACGGCTACGGAACTGCAATCCAACATAACCGACTAACATGGACGGAAATGACCTTTGATTGTCTCACTCCATCAATGACCTTGAGCATGCGGGATAATTTCAGCCAATAAATCCAGCCGTTAAAAAGATATTGGATTAGTCGTTATTTTGAAGTAGCTCGCTACTGTAGCCTTTGTTGTTTCCAAGATGGTTTGTGGATTGCTTACATTATGTATACATCATTATCTAGGCTGTAGGGGATAATCAGGATTCATCTAGAAACAATTCTGAAACTACGAGTAACGTAGAAAAAATGGACTGTGACCAAGATGATCAGAGTATGCTCTTGGCAATGGTAATAAATATACCAACACCTCCTGGACCACAATGTTACTGGTTAGTTTGCCATTTGTACCATTGTCTACATTTTAGTATGATGCCACGTGATTATAACAGACCGGATTTTCAGTGTAGCGTCTGTTATAAGTGGTTTCACCTGGAATGTATTGCTTTCAACATAGGGTATGTTCATGCATGTGATTTTATTTTCTATTCACCAATAGGAAAGCTTTACCATTTCTTACTGCATACCACTTCATGTGTAAAAGGTGCAATGCTATTGGAGAGGAGGTTTTTTCTAGGAAGCAGGCTAATTTTACCGTTATGTGTCAAACGGCTTTGGCAAATTTAATGCTGAGGCATGGTGGTCGTTTATACTTTATGGAAACTAAGGAACTCATACCATTTCTTGAGGAATGTTGGGAAGAACTCACAACACAGCCAAGAAAGTCCAATAATTCCTGGTATCCGAACATCCATAAAACTTTGGTTTGTTATTTCTGTTAATCTATGGTCTTAGACTAGTAGTGATGTTTTCAAAACTGTAGAAACGCCAGACGATCTTTACGTGTGCTTATCAAATACGGTAAGGATCTAACTCGCATGCTAATCTCTTTGAACTATTAACTGTGCAATCACTACTCAATTTCTAAAAAATCAAGTGGGGAACGAAAAACTTAGCTGTCTAGGTATATTCAAATGATAGCAGTGAAATTTATAAAGTTATGGATAAAATGCGGCGATTAACCTTATTTGCCTAGATTTTTAAATGTGGTCTGACAAATTACAAAACAGTGACTTTGGAGACCAATGCAAAGTATCCATGTTCGAATAAGGCCATTCGTTTTCTCCTTTGGTCAGTAATGTTATCATTTGCCGCTGGAACACCACGGATGAGTAATAGGGGAAGGTGGTTAGCGTAAGGCTGGTGGCAAAAGTAGGGATGCTAGCACGGGAGACATTTCAGGCTGGAAGCTGTTTTTCATGTGAAGTCTGGTGGTGCAACTGGCGACCTAATGTTGACCTTTGGGCATGAGTGAAATCATTAAGCTTTTTTTAGTGGTAACTGATGTAGCCATTTTTTATCTCGTTTTCCGTGCTATACTTATGTAACGAATTGAGACGGATATACTTGCGTACACTATTTGACGTATCCCAGAATTAAATTTGCTTGTTTAGTATGCTGAAGGAAGTTTGACGTGCCTGAAGTTCAATCGCTTCACGTATCCTAATATTTTTCTTTGAGAAGAGTCCAGTGTAAGGTTCCTGATTATTTCTTAGGTTTGGTAGTTTTTCCAAAAATAAACGGGGTTTTAACGCTCACTGGCGTATTGCATTTACTTCTGTAGGACCTCACAAAAATTGGTCCGAGTTATGATCGATTTCGTGCTCTTACAAGCCAGTTGCGGACGAATATTACTAAACTGGGTGTCCCGTCCGCAAACATTCCCACCAATGTGTCGCAAAATCAGTCTTCTTTGTCGGGGGCTAGCTTTGATGCTGTAGATCAGTTCCTGCATCATTCGTCAACTGGCAACCAGTTTCCTTTCAATGGTGAAACTGATGTTGTGGATCAACCTACTTGGCGTAAACGCAGATCTCCAGGTAGTGGTTTATTCGGTGGAATGGGCACTTTTTCTGTAACATCTTTTATGCCTGGCGCATCTTTAGAAGGTAAAATTTCTACTGAAGTTTCAACGTTCCCTGGTATGAGAGCTTCTGCGTCATCCAATGAAGTAAATAATGCTTCTCCAAGTGGCTTGGTGCGTTCAACCCGCCGAGCTACTTCAGCATCTGTTCTTGGTGGGACTACCGCATTGAGTGGAGCTGCAGTTTCTGATGAAGGACGTGTAAAGTTGAATGCTTTGGGGTTCCCAATAGATCATGCGCTAAATAGAGAGGGATATCGGTAAGTTTCTTATTTTGACTGTACCCTTGTACACCTAAGCTTTTAAACATTCACACTGGCTCCGTTCGTTCATTTTCATACACCTATTTCTTAAAACTTTCATTATTCTACGGTAATGTTGCTAACTCATCAAATGTAAGTGTTTGGTAGCTTTGGTTCTTTTTCCAGTATGAATTCACACTTATTGTGGTCATGTGGTTGCACCAGCTGCCAGTTGGTGTAGCAGAAACAACTTTTTCTGTAAGTGATCCGTGCACTTAGCTACCACTGTATGTAGGGTTTCAGTTTGGTCTTCTCTTCAGCCTTATTCAAGCAGTTACTTGACCGGAATGGAGGAAATGTGGTGAAACAGAGTACTGATTTCAGCTGTCTGTTTTCCCATCAGTATTGTGATAGAAAATCTAAAAAATATGCGGCGCATAAGTGACAGCATTGTGTCAGCGACCAGTAGAATTATGGTTTAACATTGATGAATGCGCTAACCCTACCTGACGTATTCTCATAAATTAACCTGATTTTCTTAATTCTTATTTGAGCTTTCGTTACGTATTTCTCATTTATAAACATTTTGACTTAGATTTTTGATCCTGTAAATATTAGGACTCGCTTGACAAAAGCGCATGTAATATAATAGACCACAATCCCGATTGTAATATGCCTAAGTCAACTTTAAAGACTATATGAACTGTGGACGTTTGAACCAAGTTCAGAAGTGATGGTTTGGATGGATTTGGGCGTTGGGTAAATTGTATTCGGTGTTATTAAAAACTGTTCCCATTAATGAGGGAAATGTGACAATTAAAATTTAAAACTACATATCAAAAGATAATCCGGTATCGTTTAGTTTCTACTTTCTAAGTTTGCCAGTTCTTGTTTTCTACCTGTTCTTCTTCATTGCTCCCCACCGCTAAATGTTTCTTGAGCTACTTAAGAACGACTTTGTTACACTGCGAATGTCATGAAAAGTTGTCAGTAGGGCGAGTGGGTTACTGCTAAACCAACTTTGTAATACTCTTGTAGACAGACACTCGAACTCATTCAGGGAATTAGTGGATGTCATCCTGTCGGACTCTGAGCATCTTCTCAATGCACAACTCCCTCCTTACATTTCATCAGGTAGGACTAGAAGCAACTATGGGAGGCTTCATGCCTTATTTGGCACATATTTTATGTGATGAGAGAAGTGTTAGGCCATGACACTATCAACTTACTGCGAGACACTGAGCAAACTATCCTTTTTGTTCTTTCTTTCATCAATATATTGTTGTGATGATTATTCCCACTATAAATTTAAATCCGTACTATCAGTGGCCAGTGATATCAATATAAGTGTCCTGTCAATTATTTTCCCATGTACCTACTATGTAGTGCAGGGAGAAAATTAGATGCAATATTGCGTTACAGGTCAAAAACTTCACATTGTATAAGGTGTACTTTTTGGAATAAAGTCAATATCATTGTTATTAAAGCCATGGTGACTCACTTCGATGTGAGCCACCTTTGGTGTGACATCAGTTGGCTAATTATAGGTTGAGTGAGCAACTTTCCTATTGGATTTAAATGTCTAGTCTTCTCAGGTTGGAAATCTATCGCCACTTTTCGTTTTAGGTTACTGCTTAGTTGTATCGGGACGTCAATGACTTTGGTACTTGTTGTAAATGTCTTCATATCACAATTTTCATGTCGATTTGTCGGACTTGTTATTGGTTTGAAAAGACAGATATCGTCCACTACGTGGCACTAGTCTAGGGCATATTTTTTATTAAATTGGCATCAGTTTGTGTGTCCAGTCACTCAAGATAGTCTCAGAAAGATCTGGCGATTCTGACTTGAGAAATAGTATGTAGTTTAAAATGATATCATTTCTCAAAATGTTGTTCATTACTTGTTTCTTTTACTGTCAGTAATTATAAAAAGTGGTAAATGCACTTGATGAGAATGACTATGTTTGTGATGTCACCGTAGATGTTATTTTCTTGTTTTTATGTTTTGTATATTTGCGACTCGCTTTGTCAGTCTTGTGTTTAAATAAATGTATGCAGATTTTACGCTTGCAGGCATTTGATTAGTTCCGAGGCAGATTTTGCCACAAGTTGACACCAGTCCGTAGGATTACTGAAACCAGATATCACTAAACAGTTGTTTTTGTTTGATATTGTTTATACTTGTTCACTCTCAACTTAGGCTTCTGCGTAAAAATGCAATCATATTAATACAGGACTTCCAAAATGAAATGCAGTTTTTGTGATTTTGTGAAATAGTTTTATCACCATTCACTTTCATCACTGAGTATTTGTCCCAGTACCAGGCTCTGTTGATTCCTCCAAGCTGCTTTTCATGAGAGCACACATCAGTAACACTGGATGTTACTACTGTTACTGGATGCACTACATCATTTCACAGATGAATTCAACCTGGTAACCTAGTTTTGATCTGTCATAGTGTGGACATACTAAAGTTTTATATTAAGCTGGAACAATTGATGTTGTGGATGCTGAAATCAGTGTCTGATAAATGGGATAGGTACACAAGTTAGAGGCAACTGTAACTTGTTTCAAGCAGTAGGGATTTCAGTAATTGCTTTTTTTAAAAAAAACATTTAAACTTCGGACACTTTCTAAAGAACTGGTACTGGTTAAAAGGTTTAGGGTGACTAGTCTTTATCATTAAGTTATTCCGTAAATTGCATCTCCTTATATTACATGTGGAGCTCCGGCTCATCGACTTGAGTGCTAGACTTCCAACCACTCGGTCACGGGTTCAAAATCCGCCGCGTCCTGTGAGGTTTTGGAAGTCGGGTGGTATCACCAGTCCTCTACACAACAGGTGTGGCCCACCGCCAACTGAATGGAGTCTCATTTTATTTCACTTTCTAATTTCTTATCTTAAATTTGGCACAATTCCAAAAATACAAAGAACTCACTGTACTGTATAAAATTTTGTCTTCGATTACACAGACCTATAGATGTCTAAGATTTCGAGCTGATTTCATATGCGTTTGGTTGTAACGTAGTCACTTAAGATATTTTAGTAGCAGTTTACTGATTAGGGATGGGAGGCGGAGTGCACAACAGGATATTCTCAATCCATCGTCAAAATGATGTAACATTTGTAGATCAAGAAAGAAAGACCAGACTTGCAGTATAAAATGATATCATCATTCTATTTCACAGGTTCTCGTCAGCTGCTGCAACCTACCTGAAATTACAATGGTTATAAATAATGACATTTCATACTTCAATGTTTGAAAGGTAATAAAGAAAACATTATAAGATGAACGCATCAGGTAGTTTGCAGCAGCTGACGAGAACCTGTGAAATAGAATGATGATATCATTTTATACTGCAAATCTGATCTTTCTTCCTCTATCGGAATTTATCAAGAGAAACAAATGTATGAAATATCTAGATCAGTTACTGGTGTGTTGCTACATGATGAATAGTGTACAGGATTACTTAACTACCTACCACGAAACAACTATCGCATCTGCTGATAGCTTGGTTTTCTTACCTCCAGTTACATTTTAGTTGAACCAGACAAGCATGCTCCTGGTCGAGAGCAGTGGGATGAATGTGAATTCACAGCTGGAAAGCCCATACCTGGCTTATTTTACCGTGTGTTTATATGTTCACAAGTGGTCTTGTCTCTGAGTGATCGTGGTAAGTTTACCTTTGTTATATATATATATATTTATATATATATATATAATTTCTTTTTTTATAGGTGTTATCTATGTTTCCCATGGGATTTTTGTTTGTCTTAAATGTTTGTGAGAAAAATATAAATGTATACGAATATATATGTGACTATTATTAAGTTTTTAGAATTTATATAGGTGTTATAATGGTTATCTCGAACTTGTGTTTCAAGCATTTTAATAGCACTTATTTCATTTGTAAATCATAAACTTTAGTTGTAGAAACAACTCAGTCTTTCAGTAGTTTCAATCGTTTTAGTAGTCATTAAAGTGGCGAGTGCTTCTGATAAAATTTCAGTAATATATACTATACTAATATAGTTGCGGAGATACATGGGAGACGTGAAAGGAAAACAAAGAAACACAATATGAAGGCTAGAAGTACCACAACACGGAGGATCTGTGCAAATAGTGCGTTGAAGATAAGGTGTACATAATTTGGCTATAATAGAGATATCGATTTCCGAGTGAACATCCCTTACCAAGTTTTTCGTCTGCTACTGTTACAATTACACCCTCAAATTTGTACATTTTAATAATAATAAAAATGATAATAATAATCTACTTTATTCCAAGACGGACAGTACTTATAATACAGAATGGAGTTCTCAGCATTTGTCACAATATTGCATCTGATTTACTTAAAATATAAATAAAATTAAAAATTAAAACAAAATTAACCAAAGGAATTTGTCAGCGTTTACGGTATAAAGTCAAAAATGTTCGAAGCACGAATTGAGAATATTAAATATAATAATAATCATAACAGTGAGTTTGTTTCAAACAGCATTGTCGATTCAGTTTGGAAATTTTAGCATGTTATAGATTATTGAATCTAATGTTCTGTTGATATAACAGCATGGTGAAGGGAAATACAAAATGAACAGTTATAACACAGCTTAAATTATGTTCCCACTTATGAAAAAATAAACAAATAAAAACAAAAAATTGCAAGGATTATAAATATAACAAATACAATAACAGTAAAGCTTGATGTGCGTCGGTGGCACAGTGGTTAGGACTCTCGCCGACCATGCACATGGTCCGAGGTTCGATCCCCTGCCGACGCACACCCGATATCTATGGTCGGCCTGTAAAATTTGGGCTACCGATATCCGTGCTGAAAATTCCATACTTGTACTGAAAATACGGTGTGGCATCAAGCAGTAACCAAAATAAAAAATAAAAAAAAGATGTTATAACGGTGGAGGAAATAGTTTATTTAGTGGTGCAAAGAAAGTTAGTTCATGCCTGACACTATTTTCATCATATAAAGTACGTGCCAAATATGTTATAGTGGAATTTTTATGCTTAGATGTACGTGCATAAAGTCTTGTGAAAAGACTTATTGTTTTACCAGAAGAGGAGACACAAGGTTGGAGCTGCGGGTGCTGCTGTGGATGCTCACAGTCTCACAAAATTCCTTTAGGAAATTTGTTGGATGAAATCAAGTGCCTATCAGTGACAATGTCAACGATATGGCCCAATGGGATATCACCACTCGCCCTACTGACTGACAGTCTTCAGAATTCTACGAAGAATGACATAGTCTTTTTTAAGCAATCCAGGAGAGAATAAGCAGGGGTGAACATTAAAGAAGAACCTGAACAACATAAGTTTTGTAGCAAATAATTGAATTTGCCTGTTTATAATTCATTGAAAAGGCATAACCAATTACCATGTACTACTTAAACATCTGTATAAAAAGAACATATGCATTTTCCCTCTGATTTTCAGTCCTTCATGATTACTCTGTAGTATATATGTGAAATTTGTTCATTTTAAACTATTGTTGTTTTCTTTTCTTTTCTTATTTTTTTATTCTCCTTCATAGCGAATCACTTGAAAGTACACGAATCTCAGTTATCAGTTACTGGTGATAAAGGCTACTGTATGTGTCGAGCCACTCACAGCGTTCACTCGGGTACCTGGTATTTTGAAGCAACCATCACAGAACAACCAGAAGGTTCTGCAACTCGAATCGGCTGGTCTCAAATGTATGGTGAGTATTGTAATTTCCGTTGTCCCTATTTATACAAGTTATTACTGCCGGGTAAAATAAGGTAGATGTCATGAATGCTTATCTGTCAGACGTTTCGGTCGAATAATTAGGCAGTGTGTATGTCCCTCTTACAAACATTGGTGAACATTGTGGAAGTGAGCCGGTCTAAGAATCTGTAGTTTTTAATGCCATCAAAATTTTTTGTTAGTTTATTTGGCTCATGTATCGATATATATATATATGCATGCAAATAATATAAATGATTTATGTTATGGAAAGCATGTTGTATTAATGCCTACCTGCTCGTATTGTCCTGTGATGAGTAGCATAGATTATGCCACATCGAATTATTTACTCACCAGGAGTAGATGAATAATTGTCCAGCACTGTGAATTTACTAGCCCAATTTTAGTCTGTTGTGTGCTGAGATTTCTTTGCTACTACAGCTTCGTTCTACTGGTGTTTGTCTTCGACCACCTGTTTAGTCTTTTAAGGATGTGAGTAAAGGAGAATGATGCTGAGGAAGGCTTCGTGTGCTTTTGGAAGTGTGTGGGCGGTTGTTACTTCCCGACTGCCCACATTGTGGAAGTTGATTGATTCTTCGGGTACCTGAAACAGAAGCAGGGTTAGTGTTGCGTGACGGCAGAGCCCAGGGGACAACTGCTTGAGGCCGGTCACACACGGCCTGTATGAACTGGTTTCTTGGTTTGGTTCCGTATTAGTAAACTTACCACCGGTTACGGACCACCGTAGGGTAAGTCGGGATGTACAATTGTTGGGGTCGACCTTTTCTAACCCCTTCTCTCCACAGTAGAGAGACAGCATAGCTGGCTGGCATGCTGGACATCTAAGGGAAACACCTCACTGCTGTTAAGTCCCTGTTCCCCAGCAGTACGACTTCGCCTTGTAGGAAAGATTCCTACACAATGCCGGCAACTGGTTTTTGTCTAATCGCTGTCGTAACAACCTTCCTGGCATGGTAGGACCTGCAGGAACATTGGTTCCAGCCAGTGCAGCTTGTTGTGTCATCGCGATGTGCAAGCCCGAACAGCACTTCAAGGTAGCAGCTATCGGTCGGCCATTGAGAGTGGAAGACATGAAAAGATTAGTTGTCTTTGATCATAGGTGCCTGCGCTCTATCTCCCTCGTGAGGTGGTATGATAAGGTCAGCAATATTGAGGTTAGGCGTCGAGTGCTAGGTAAGGCGGGGAAATCAATCGACAAGACTTTGAAATTACATCAACTGAGATGGTTAGGACATGTGTTACGTTTGCCTAGTCATCGCCTTCCTCGACAATGGGCAATGTTAGGTGACATAGGGTCAGGTTGGAAAAGAGCTAGCGGCGGTCAAACCGAAACATGGCACCAGTCAATGAAATCTACAACAGTTAGTTTAAGACAGCCACGTAGGAAGGTGTAGACTTCCTGACTGGTTGGGGTCCTCTGGACGGTAAAAACCAATGGTTGGAAACGATTGATGACATGGCTTAAAATCGTTCTAAATGGCCGGCGCAGATGCATCCACTCCTTGTGACTTATGATTTCCAATGAAATTGTTTTGTTCTTCGTTATTACTATTCCTTTGTCTCACACCTCTGTTTACTGTGTCTATTATGCATTTCTTCTACTTTCTTCTCGTGCTTTGTGTGCTACATGGAGGGAGTGTGGCGACTTGAACTGCCGCACATCTGTGCAAAGTTCTATGTCGAATACAGACAGATAGACAGACTTTTAAGGCTTGTATCTAAGTTTTAACTACTTGACTGTCAGACAATGAAAACTTGTTAATGCTTGTCTCTTTTGAAGAAACACTTGTATTTGTTTTTGTGATCTGCAGTTACTTCCAGTTACAGATGTTCACTACTGCCTTCTCTCTCTCTCTCTTGATTCAGGTAACTTACAAGCACCTTGTGGTTTTGACAAATTTAGCTATTCCTGGCGTTCACGTCTTGGCACTGTATTTCATGAATCTCACGGTAAACACTATACGAATGGTGGATATAAAAAGGATGATGTCATTGGCTGTTTAATTCATTTGCCGTCAACAGTTGGCCCTTTCACACCGATAGAAAACCAAGCGTCAAAACCTCCCACACCTCAATTGAATCCATTTTCTCCCATTATGGATGACCTTCATGCTAGCATAACTGGTACGCTTAAGTCAATGAATTCAATGATGAATTGTAGTAATAATAATTCACCTGCACCTACTTTTCTTCCTGAAACTTACAAAGACCGTGTAAGTGGCTTGATACATTCACCAAATTATGTCTTTTTTTTTAATCAATTTTCGTTGGTGTATGTGATAAATTCACTTTGATCTGAAATCGTTTGGCTGAATGGAATCCGATTTATTTGTCCAGCTACAGGCACAGGCACCACGGACGACGATTTCAAAGGTAAGGTTGAGATTAGTGGAAGCTCTCTCTCTACTGGCACTTAGCATGACGGAGTTTTGAGTTTTCAACACCAGTGTCAATTCAGTGCTCCCATATATATGCTTCAGAGATTTGGTGCATTACGAAAAAGACTCCCAACAAGCTGCTTTCGCTTGATGCCGTGAAGATCTGATGGTTAGAAAGGATAAATGGTGGGGAACTCTGACAATGAACTGACCAAGAACTCTATCGCCTAGCAAATGTGCCGAAGGAAATGCAGATGAACTGGACATATTCTGAGGAAATCGTTGAGTGACATCACACCCTAACGTAGAGCCTGAATAAGTAATGACAGGTGGGATGTCCTAAGGTGACATGTAGAAGATCGTCTGGTTAGAAAGAAAAGAAGCTTCTAGGTAATCATGCATCCGGCTACAAAAGACTGCGGAGAACAGAGTGAAATGAAGATGAGCCACTGAAGCCATATAATAATAATAATAATAATAATAATAATAAACTTTATTCCAAGACGAACAGTAGTTATAGTACAGAATGGAATTCTCAGCATTTGTCACAATATTGCATCTAACTTAGTCAAAATATAAATAAAATTGAAAATTGAAAAAAAATTAACCAGAGGAATTTTTCCACATTTATGGTAAAAAGTCAAAAATATTCGAAGTACAAAATGAGAATACTAAACATAATAAAAATAATAACAGTGAGTTTGTTTCAAACAGTATTGTCGATTCACTTTGGAAATTTTAATATGTTATAGATTATTGAATTTAATGATCTGTTGATGTAACAGCATGGTGAGCGGAAATACAAAATTAACAGTTATAACATAGCTTAAATTATGTTCACACTTGATATTATAAGGGTGGAGGAAATGGTCCATTTAATAGTGCAAAGAAGGTTAGTTAGCTCGTGCCTAACACTATTTTCATCACATAAAGTACGTGCCGCCAAATATGGTGTAGTGGAATTTTTATTTATTTATTTAAACGCAGAAAAACTTGGTACAATATGGCACCAAGAAAGATGCGCCACACAATAATAGTAAAACAACATAGATTAAAAGTAAAAATATAAGTAGAAAACAGATAAGGAACTTCATCTGGAAGGAAAACAGTCATGTTTAACAAGTTCAAACATTATTCGTTAACTATCATCAGGAATGGAAGAAAGAAGGAAATTGCAACACGTTCGCCTTTGATTACGATTCTTGACCATATCCGATAACGTTTCGAGCTATCTCGCGGACCCACCAGGGAGTCGTGACGCACCAACCGATGCTAATCTAGCACAAATATCCTCCATCCTACGACGCCACGTCATGGACTGACCACCCCTCCGCCTTTTCTATCCCGTCCCAGGGCTAGCGAACAGAGACATGTGCGGAAGCCTCTGGGATGACATTCGCAGCACATGTCCAAGCCACCGGAGCCGGTGTTTCCAGATGACGACACTCAATGAATGGTGATCTCCACTGTGTTCAAACACACGCCGCCGAACCTCAGAATTACTCACGCGGTGATGCCATCGAACTCAAGCAATCCTGCGGAGACAGCGATGATCGAACACGCAGAGTCGCCGCACATCCTCAGCTCGGAGAGGCCAGGTTTCATAGGCGTAGAGCAAGACAGCCCGCACCAAAGCATTGTATATACGACCTGAACGAGACCCAGCCTGCTCTTCGCGAATCAATCCTTCACGTGTTTTGCACAGCCTGCGAAGCAAGACAGCAGCCAATAATTTAGACGCGACTGGTAGCAGACTGATACCCCTATGATTGTCACACGAATTACATCGACCCTTTTTAAAGATGGGGACGATAATGGCTTCGTTCCACATTGATGGTACACTCTCAGTTTCCCATACCTTCCTGAACAACCCAGTTAGAGCCATTGTGAGAGTCTCGCCACCATCTTTAAAAAGAGCCGGGGGTAAATTGTCTGGGCCGGGCGCCTTATGGCGTTTTAACACTTGGAGTTCCTTACGGACCTCCGCTTCGGTGGGTGGGTCGATATTAACCGACCAAAGAGCACTGGGGCTAATGACAGCAGACATTGAGGCTGGTGGCCAGCTAAACTGTTTCCCGAAGTGCTCTGCCCAGCGTTCCAGGCGTCTTTTCAAACTGGTAATTGGCGTGCCATCTGCCTCACAGACCGTCTCGCTGACACCTTGTTTCTTGCTGCCGGTGGCTCGGATGAGTTTGAACAGCTTCCGACTGTTGCCAGATGCATCAGCTAACTCCATCTCACCCGCACGTTCTGACCACCAGGCTTCGCGGTCCTTACGTAAATTTTTATACTTAGACGTACGTGCATAAAGTCTTGTGAAAAGACTTCTTGTTTTACCTGAGGAGACACAAGGTTGGAGTTGCGGATAAAGTGGATGCCCACAGTCTGACAAGATTCCTTTAGCAAATTTGTTGGATGAGATTAAGTGCCTATCAATGACGATATCAACGATATGGCCCGCTCACCCTACTGACAGTCTTCAGAGTTCTACTAGGTATGACAGTCTTTTTTAAGCAATCCAGGGTGATCAGTAAAGAAGTAAAGGGGAGATGCATGAGTTGACAAACTGTAAGATTAGGGGTTGAGTTATGCCTGAGTGCCTTAACTTCTTGATGTCAAAAGTCAGACGAAATATTCTTTTAGAAATCGCTAATACATGGTAAGACCAGGATAGGTCAGAAGAAAGAATTAATCTAAGATACTTAACTTCAGACTTAGTTTCTATATCAGTATCATCAATTTTGCAAGGGTTATTGGAACTAACAGCTTCATCCAACTTTCTTTTACATCGGAAACTGAAATTAACAGTGACATTTGGAGGGATTTAGTTTAAGACCATTAGACGAAGACCATTGGCTGACTCCTGATAGAAAGCCGTTCCACTCGGAACCCAAGGAAATAATGATAATAGTATATGATAGTAATTTTACCCACATATTCATATGTTTGCAAACTTGATATCTTCGTTTTTATTAAATGTTTTAGTGTGGAAATAAGGGGGGGGGGGGTAATCGCTGATTTCCTCCCGTTGCTTTCCTGTATTTACGTAGATTGCCAGTAAAGGCATTATTTCTTCGCTTAGTTATTTCGATTGTCCTTCTATCCCTTGGTTTTAGCCTTTGATCAGGTTTCGGAGTTCCTTCTACTTTGAAGAAAAAGATGATCCAAGTAAAGCTGAGAAATCACTGCATCCACTGCCGGATAGTAAGGTGAGCGATACCCTTTTATACTACTTTATTTTTTCAGTAGGATAATTAACAAGCTGTCAATTTTATCTGTAAGAGCTATGATTTCCAAGTTTGCTTAACCAATAACCAATACCTTCGAATTTCAGTATTTTTCGTATACATTTTCTATGATCTGTTTTCAATGCATTGGAATTCGTCTTTCATCTCTTGAAATTTTTAAAGAGTTGCAAATATCTGGAACTATTAAGTTGCAGATTTAAATCACTACTATAGTTGAAAAGAGAACAAATTAGCCTAGAAGTCACTGATATCGGGTGAAGAGCCGGAATCACAGCCAACGAGTCATGAGTTCATGCCCCTTTCCGCCTGTTTCAGCCGAGGCAACCAGGTAATCAACCATCATACATTAAGTACGGCTCTTAGCCAGAAAAGTTGAGTCCAAACTAGGAAGAAACAGCTGTCCAGTACTCCCAGGTTTTCCAGTGGTTCACTAACTGATGTCAGCTCATGATGAAATCCTCCATGCAATCCAAACAAAAAGACAAAAATGATTTGTTCAATGCATTCCACTTTTTTGTACGGTAACATTTAAGCTACCGAAATTAGAAAATCCAAGCGGTACAGTTGACTTCCAAAGTGGATTTATTTTATAGCGTACATACACCCTGCGTAGTCATTTATGAAGTGATTAACTTTTTGATATGGTTGTTCTCTCTGCGCTGGATAGTTAATTTGTGAAGCTTTCATTGACCCCTACTAGGCAACAACTTCAGTGCATACTTCAATTTGAAGTGACGATTCACTGAAATACCAGACTTCTAAAAATTCTCTAGCATTCTTGGTGTTTCCTCTGTCTTGTAGTTTAACGCTGGTTTTCCCAGTCGAATTGATATCCGTGGTTGTCTGTACTCAGTGAGGCGATGTGAGGGAGTGGATGTCATGTCTTTTGACGGCCAGCTTATGATCATGGATACGAAGACGAAGGGGACAACCACTTTAGTCAACCTAGTACTTTTCACAGTTGTTGCAACTTATTTTGTAGATGATGTTATTGAGTCTTTTGGTTGACATATAACTGAGTGGAGTGATTTTGTTGGTTTGTGTGCGACGTCAATTCTTAAAGGTTTGAAGAGTCTTGCGGTGATTTCTGAGATATCCTTAATATATGGTAGGGCGATTATTTTGTGCTTTTCTTGGGGGTATATGTCTTTTGATGAAATTCCGTGGATATCCATTCTTTTGGAAGACGTCCATGAGATATCTTTCTTCAATTTTCCTTAAGGCGGGAGTGCTGCAATCAGTCCTGGTCCTCATTACCTTGGCCATCCAGGTTTGAATAATCCGGAATTTTTGTAGAAATTTCCCTAATTTTAGTTGATATTCTATTTGTTATTATAACTTTATTATTATTATTATTATGATTTAAGCATCTTTAATGAATTGTAATTCCCATTGTGATCTTACTTTACAAATCGATATTATTTAAAAAGCACCCTAACATTGTTATTGACTACTAATCTAGAATATTCTATGTATATAAACATGCATATATAATTGTAGAGCCTGGAAGAGGAGGAATTTATCGAAAAGAATATTCTTAGCTCAATTATTTTGTGTTTTATAGATGTCTGAATGAATATTTTTGCTATATTGAAATCTTCTGAGCATCATTTTGCGTTAAAAGTACTCAACGAGTATTTGAAGTATAGCGCAAGACTCAGCGAAGCAAAGACTACTGTTGACTTTATCCAGCAGTTTATTGAAACAAACCGGTACCCGAAATCTTATTGGAAATCTCTACGCCGTTGCAGAGTCCGGCCTAATGATAAAACACTCAAACGCCATGCACGTAACCAAATTGACTTAATCGCGTATTCCTGAGTTATCGAAGAATGTGACAGAAAGGTTCTATGCTGTCGACGAATTACCAGAAAACTTAAAGAAACTATTTTTAGATTATGTGGATGTATTTGTGAGTAATAGGAAAGAAAAGAAAGGATTGAAGTTGGTGCAGAGCTTAGAGAACAAGGCACCTGAAACAAGATTTCCTCCGAACCCAAGTCGTTTTGTGTTTAATTTTGCAGATGTAATACTTAGTGAAATGGATCTACAGGTTTTATCGCTTGGCCCTAAATTTTGTGATAGCCATGTAAAAATTAACAAAATGGATGCAAAAATTCCGTTCGAAAGTCTCTACATACATATATATAAATGAAGGAAAAAGTTGTGTGAGTAACTTGATATGATTATGAGCAATAATTTGTGCTCGAAACGTCCTCAATTAATATTACTGTGTAACACTGTGTGATTTATCAAAATAAAATCTTATCCATAATGGAGTCTCTACAATCAAACGGAAGGCCTAACACCCTCATCAAATGAGGATGTTGAAAGACTTAAATCAACACTGGTCGATTGTTGCCATTATTACATGAACAGTAAACGCAATTCGGATAGTATCTTAACCAAAAAACATGGAGAAGCCCTGGATGTTCTCCACAAAAATGATAACATAATAATAACAAGACCGGATAAGGGCTGAGGAGTGGCTATCATCAATAAAGCCGATTACTTTGAGAAGATGAATACTATTCTTAATGATAATCTAAAATTCCAAAAAATCTCCTCTTCTCTGGATCCGATTGAAAAAATATAGAAACAGTTAGTGGAAACATTGAAAAGACTATATGGCTCGCCTAAAGTGCACAAAAATGGTGTACCGATGCGACCAGTATTACATATGCTAAATTCACCATACCATCCTGTAGCCAAATGGTTAGTCGAACTCTTACAGCCCCTTCATACTGAGTTGGTGAAACACAGTGTAAAGGATACTTTCGGATTCGTTGAAAGGACAAAGATTTAAATGTTGACAATAAATTCATGATATCATTTGACGTATCTTCCTTATTCACCAATGTATCACTTATGGAAACAGTGGACTTTGTATGCGATGAACTCAAAAGACGAAACATCGATGTTGGCATTCCTATATCTTTTATGAAAGAGCTTCTCTTGAAATGCACAATGAATGTCCACTTTTTCTTTAATAAAGAACTGTATAGACAAATCGATGGTGTGGCAATGGGGTCACCACTAGGACCCATTCTAGCCGACATTTTCCTTGCGAAACAAGAAAATGGGCCTTTGAAGGATGTTATTAATGAACTCGAATTTTATTGTCGGTACATGGATGATACACTTTTGATTATGAAGAACGAAAAGAAAGCAAGGAACATCCTGGATAAATTTAATGAGGTACATCCTGCAATAAATTTTACTACTGAGAAAGAAAAGGACTCTAGTATTTCATTTCTTGACGTCCTTATGACCAGAAAAGAGGATGGCACAATAAGAAGAAGTGTTTATAGAAAACCTACATCAACGGGCCAGTACACACATTTTCTCAGCTTCGTGCCCTTGAAATACAAATGCAGTCTGATAATAAAGTGCTTGGTTCATAGAGCAAGAGCAATCTGCTCGGACGAATGTCTTGACGAGGAACTTAGCAATATTAAACGGTTGCTAAGTGAGAATAGTTATCCTGAAAAGTTTATTGATAAGAATGTGAATCTGAAACCAAAGCAGCCCAAGTTACCAACAGTTCCAAAATAGGCCTTGTTCTTACAGATGCAATTCCTAGGAGACAACGCCAGTGAGATACTAACACAGCACCTTAGAACTGCGATAAAAAGAGCATTCCCTGCTGCTGAATTACGCTGTATCTTTAAAACCACTCCTCTTCTACGTTCGGAAATAAAAGACAAACTGCTTAATTTCGCCTCTTCCATGTGTGTATACCAATTTAACTGCTCCTGTGGAGTGAGCCAGTTACATACGCCGTACAGTCAGGCGTGTTTCTCGTCGAATTTCCGAACATCATCCTGCCTGGTTAAGCGAAGGACAAACAATCTATTCACAGCGCTATTCTATCTCATCTTGTGGATACAGAACACAAGACTGATGTTAACAAGACGGCTTTCAAAGTCATTTACCGCATACCAACAAATCTAAATTTCGCCTTAAGAGGTCGATTACTAAATATTGCTGAGGCTGTGGGGATCCATATTAACAAGCCTAATTTATGAGTCCAAAAGAAGTTGGTTGGTTCAGACGTCATCCTTACCTTGGCCACCCAGGTTTGAATGATCATGAATTTTTGTGGAATTTTCCTAATTTTAGTTGATATTCTATTTGCTATTATATTTTCATTATTATTATTATTTAAACATCTTTAATGAACTGTAATTCCCATTGTGATCTTACTTTACAAATCGATATTATTTAAAAAACACTAATATTGCTATTGACTACTAATCTAGAATATTCTATGTATACAAAACATGTGTATATAATTGTAGAGCTTGGAAGAGGAGGAAATTACCGAAAAGAATATTCTTTGCTCAATTATTTTGTGTTTCATAGATCTCTTGAATAGTGTTTGTATACAATTACTTTTGTGTGTTATTGGATTGTTGGTGTTGTAATTGAGTATTTGATCAGTGTCAGTTGATTTTCTATAAGCTTGAGTTTCTAATTCCCCTGTGGTTGTTCGTTTGACTAAGACGTCCAAAAATAGGATTTTGTTCTCGGATTCCTTTCCCCTTGTGAATTTGATGTCGTTGAAGACGTTGTTTATGAAGTCAGTTGTGAGTTTTATCCAACTCGTTTCTTTTGATTATTACAAATTTTGGGTTTGATCTTTGGTAGGATTATGTTTCTGAGCCTTTGCATCACTGCTTCTGCAATCAAACCTGATATTGGCGATCTCATGGATGTTCCTTCAACTTGTTCATATATTTGGCCGTTGAATTGGAAGTATGTTGTTAGGCATAGGTTTATGCATTCCGTCCAACTTGTGTGTTGCATTTTGATTGTTGTGGGAAGTGTTCGTCGTTGCTGAGTAGTTGCTCCATGGTCTCTTTTGCTAGTTTCTGTCTGATTGAGGTATATAATGCAGTGACGTCGAAGGTTATTTTTATTTCTTGGTCATCTATTTGGATGCCTCTGATTTTCTCTAG